GCAAAAGTTACGCTCAATTCTTCGAACGCTGACAATCCAAGCGTTCCAAATATGCAAGTGCTCGTTCTTAAAAAAATAGCCTAAATCCCTCATACGTCATGACGAAGCCATGAGTTCAGTCCAAAATGGTCGTTACATTTTCGAAAAGTACTTATGGGCGCAAAATGGACACCGTCTGCAAAAGTTGCGCTCAATTCTTCGAACGCCGACAATCCAAATATGCAAGTGCTTGTTCTTCGAAAAATTGTTGAAATCCCTCATACGTCATGATGAATCCATGAGTTCAATCCATAATTGTCACTACATTTCCGAAAAGTACTTTATGGTCCCAAAACGGACACCACGTGTAAAAGTTACGCTTAATTCTTTGAACGTCGACAATCCAAGCGTTCCAAATATGCAAGTACTCGTTCCTCAAAAAAGGCTGAAATCCCTCATATGTCATGGCTAAGTGGTGAGTTCAATCCAAAATGATCGCTACATTTCCGAAAATTACTTATGGGCCCAAAATGGAGACCGTATGCAAAAGTTACGCTCAATTCTTCGAAAGCCGACAATCCAAGCGTTCTAAATATGCAAGTGCTTGTTCTTTGAAAAATGGTCGAAATCCCTCAAACGTCACGATGAAGCGGTGAGTTCAATCCAAAATGGTCGCTACATTTTCGAAAAGTAGTTATGGGCTCAAAACGAAAATCGTATGCAAAATTTACGCTCAATTCTTCGAATGCCGACTATCCAAGCGTTTCAAATATGCAAGTGCTCTTTCTTCGAAAAATGGCCAGAATCCATCATACGTCACGACAAAGTGGTTAGTTCAATCCAAAATGCTCGCTACATTTCGAAAAAGTACTTTGTGGTCCTAGAACGGACACCGTGTGCAAAAGTTACGCTCAATTCTTCGAACGCCGATAATCCAAGCGTTCCAAATATGCAAATGCTCGTTCTTCAAAAAATGGCTAAAATCCCTCATACGTCACGATCAAGCAATGAGTTCAATCCATAATGGTCGCTACATTTCCAAAAAGTACTTTATGGTCCCAAGATGGACACTGTGTGCAAAAGTTACGCTTAATTCTCCGAACGCCGACAATCCAAGCGTTCCAAATATGCAAGTGCTCGTTCTTCGAAAAATGGCCAAAATCCCTTATACGTCACGATGAAGCGGTGAGTTCAATCCAAAATGGTAGCTACATTTCCAAAAAGTACTTTATGGTCCCAGAACGGACACCGTGTACAAAAGTTACGCTCAAATCTTCGAACGCCGACAATCCAAACGTTTCAAATATGCAAGTGCTCGTTCTTCAAAAAATGGCTGAAATCCCTCATACGTTACGGCTAAGTGGTGAGTTCAATCCAAAACGATCGCTAAATTTCCAAAAAGTACTTATGGGCCAAAAACGGACACCGTATGCAAAAGTTACGCTCAATTCTTCGAACGCCTACAATCCAAGCATTCCAAATATGCAAGTGCTTGTTCTTCAAAAATTGGCAAAAACCACTCATAAGTCACAACGAAGCTGTAAGTTCAAGCCAAGACGATCGCAAAATTTTCGAAAAAGTACTCATGGGCCCAAAACGGACATCGTGTGCAAAAGTTACGCTCAATTTTTCGAATGCCAACAATCCAAGCGTTCCAAATATGCAAGGGCTCGTTCTTCAAAAAATGACCGAAATCCCCCATAAGTCACGACGAAGCCATGAGTTCACTCCAAAATGGTCGTCACATTTTCGAAAAGTACTTATGGGCGTAATCTTCTTCGAAAAACGGCTGAAATCCCTTATACATCACGATGAAGAGGTGAGTTCATTCCAAAATGGTCGCTACATTTCCAAAAAGTACTTTATGGTCCCAGAACGAACACCGTGTGCAAAAGTTACGCTCAATTCTTTGAACGCCAAAAATCTAAGCGTTCCAAATAAACAAGTGCTTGTTCTTCAAAAAATGGCCGAAATCCCTCATACGTCACGACGAAGCCATAAGTTTAATCCAAAATGATTGCTACATTTTCGAAAAGTACTTATGGGACCAAAACGGATACCGTTTGCAAAAGTAAAGCTCAGTTCTTCGAGCGCCGACAATCCAAGCATTCCAAATATACAAGTGCTCGTTCTTCAAAAATCGGTAAAAATCACTCATACGTCACGACAAAGCCTTGAGTTCAATCCAAAACGGTTGCTACATTTTCGAAAAGTACTTATGGGCCCGAAATGGACACTATGTGCGAATGTTATGCTCAATTCTTCGAACGCCGACAATCCAAGCATTCCAAATACGCAAGGGCTCGTTCTTTGAAAAATGGCCGAAATCCCTCATACGCCATGACGAAGCCATGAGTTCAGTCTAAAATGGTCATTATATTTTCGAAAAGTACTTATGGGCACAAAATCGACACCATCTGCAAAAGTTGCGCTAAATTCTTCGGATGCCGACAATCTAAATATGCAAGTGCTCGTTCTTCGAAAAATGGCCGAAATCTCACATACGTCACGACAAAGCCTTGAGTTCAATCCATAATAGTCACTACATTTTCGAAAAGTACTCTATGATCCCAAAACGGACACCGTGTGCAAAAGTTACGCTCAATTCTTCGAATGCCGACAATTCAAGCATTCCAAATATGCAAGTGCTCGTTCCTCGAAAAATGGCTGAAATCCCTCATACGTCAAGGCTAAGCGGTGAGTTCAATCCGAAATGGTCTCTACATTTTCGAAAAGTACTTATGGACCCAAAACGGACACTGTATGCAAAATTTACGCTCAATTCTTCGAAAGCTGACAATCCAAGCATTCCAAATATGCAAGTGCTCGTTATTCGAAAAATGGCCAAAATCCCTCAGACGTCTCGACGAAGTGGTGAGTTCAACCCAAAACGGTCGCTACATTTTCGAAAAGTACTTTATGGTCCCCATTAAGAACATCGTGTACAAAAATTACGCTCAATTCTTCGAACGCCGATAATCCAAGCATTCCAAATATGCAAGTGGTCGGTCTTCGAAAAATGGCCGAAATCCCTAATATGTCACCATGAAGCCGTGAGTTCAATCCAAAACGGTCGCTACATTTTCGAAAAGTACTAATGGGCCCAAAATGGACACCGTGTGCAAAATTCTTCGAACACCGACAATCCAAATATGCAAGTGCTCTTTCTTTGGAAAATGGCTGAAATCCTTCATACGTCACAACGAAGTGGTGAGTTCAATTCAAAACGGTCGCTACATTTTCGAAAAGTACTTTATGGTCCCCGAATGGACAACGTGTGCAAATGTTACGCTCAATTCTTCGAACGCCGACAATCTAAGTGTTCTAAATATGCAAGTCCTCGTTCTTCAAAAAATGGCCAAAATCCCTCATACGTCACGGTTAAGCGGTGAGTTTGACCCAAAATGTTCGCTACATTTTAGAAAAGTACTTATGGGCCCAAAATAGACACCGTATGCAAAAGTTACGTTCAATTCTTCGAACGCCGACAATCTAAGCGTTCCAAACATGCAAGTGCTCGTTCTTCAAAAAATGGCTGAAATCCCTCGTATGTCATGTCGAAGCCATGAGTTCAATCCAAAACGGTAGCTGCATTTTCGAAAAGTACTTATGGGCCCAAAATGGACACCATATGCAAAAGTTACTCTCAATTCTTAGAACGAGGATAATCCAAATATGCAAGTGCTCGTTCTTCGAAAAATGGTCGAATCCCTCATACATCACGACGAAGCCGTGAGTTCAATGCAAAATGGTCGCTACATTCCTAAAAGTACTTATGGGCCCAAAACAGACACTGTATTCAGAAGTTACGCTCTATTTTTCGAACGTCGACAAACCAAGCTTTCCAAATATGCAAGTGCTCGTTCTTTGAAAAATGGCCAAAATCCCTCATACATCATGATGAAGCGGTGAGTTCAATCCAAAACGGTCGCTATATTTTCGAAATGTACTTAGGGGCCCAAAATGGACACGGTGTGGAAAAGTTACACTCAATTCTTCGAACGTTTCGACAATCCAAGTATGCAAGTGCTCGTTCTTCAAAAAATGGCCAAAAACCCTAATACATCACAACGAAGTCGTGAGTTCAATCCAAAACGCTCGTAACATTTTCGAAAAGTACTAATGGGCCCAAAACGGACACCCTGTGCAAAATTCTTCGAACACTGACAATCCAAATATGCAAGTGCTCTTTCTTCAAAAAATGGTCAAAATTCTTCATACGTCACGACGAAGCCGAGAGTTCAATTCAAAACGATCGCTACATTTTCGAAAAGTACTTTATGGGCACAAAACGGACACCGTATGCAAAAGTTCGCTCAATTCTTCGAACGTCGACAATCCAAGCATTCCAAATATGCAAGTGGTCGTTCTTCCACAAATAGCCAAAATCCCTCGTACGTTTTTTTTCCCCAACCATATTTATTTCATAAAAATCAAGAATACACGGAAGGAGGGGGGCATGAACCTGACCTCCAAAAAGCAGTGAT